ACCCCTCACACACACACACAGACAGACACACAGACACCCCTCACACAGACACACAGACAGACACACAGACACCCCTCACACAGACACACAGATACGCAGACCCCTCACACACACACATACGCAGACCCCTCACACACACACACAGACAGACACGCAGACCCCTCACACACACACACAGACACCCCACACACACCCCTCACACACACACACACGCAGACCCCTCACACACACACACAGACACCCCACACACACACCCCTCACACAGACACACACACACACCCCTCACACACAGACAGATACACACCCCACACACACACGCACACACTTGCTCACATTGCTGCATGCGAACACTGTGTAATTATTGCCAGGCCAAGCTGCATTTCACACAGTGGACCTTGATCACAGGGTCTGTAGCCTTGACATCATCCCTGACAGCCACATCCAGTGAGGGGACCTATTTTTAAGCATGACTCACGTTGACCGGGGGGGGGGGGGGGGGGGGGGGGGGTTGCGATCATGAGACCACTGGGAGCTTCAAGACAGAAGGAGCTTTCTCATACACTGCAGCCCGTCCCCCCGCCTTGGTCTCTCCATTATGTCTCTCTCAATGGTTTCCTCTCATTTAGCAGACGATTTCGTGTTGGAGCAATTCAGGATGGGTAACTTCTACGGACACGCCCGCCTTGGATGGACACAATGGAGGGCTGCTGGAGAGTGCTGACGCTCACCATCATGAATATCCTCCATCCCTCAGATGTCAACTGGACACAGACCGGAAATGTTGTTCTTAACTTTGCTCCAGTGTGATCCAATTCCTGGAATATCATTTTCAAAACAACACGGTTTATCTGATGTTTAAACAGGCTTCATTAACCTAGTGTACAGCCTGGTGTTAACTGTAACAATTCAAACTAAGCACCTAAGATTAAGATAAAGAGAGAGATAACCTTCATTGATCCCAGGGGGAAATCGCCTTAGACCTGCCGCCTGTGCTAGGAATCATGGGAATGAAAACATTTTTCAACCAAACCCATCCTGGGCATCAAAAGGGAAGAGAGCCAACTTATTTCCTGCCTGGTGTGATTTCACACCCCCCAGTACTGAAGGGGTCTGGACCACTGGGCTCACTTCCTCCTGTGGTCATGTGGAACAATGAGGAAGTGAAAGGAAAAAAACCTACAAGCGACAACAGGGACTTCCCAAAGACGCCTTCCCCTCACCAAAGCCACTAAAATGACGTCTTTAGCACGGAAGATGAACTTACTGTGGTAAATTCATCAACGTAAATGTAAATAAGTCAGCCATCATAAACAAATCAGCCAAGGGTTATAATACTGGGATTCAAATGATAAAAACAGCGATCATCCGAGCGCAACGTAGCATGTTAATAGTTCAACCTATTAAATTGTTCTGCTTTTTTGAGTCAACTCACTGCAATCAGAGTTGACAAGATGGACAAATCCATGCACTGTCTGTAGCTGCTTGTCCTATTCGGGGTCGCAGGGGTCCGGAGCCGATCCCGGAAGCTACAGGCACAAAGCAGGGAACAACCCAGGATGGGGTGCCAACTCGTCACCGGGCACATACACCACTCACACCCGGGCACACATTCACACCTATGGGGAACCAAAGCAAGTTCAGCATGTTTTTGGACAATGGGGGGAAAACGGAGAACCTGGAGGAAACCCGTCAACGATGAGGCAAAAGTGCTAACCACCAGTGCACAACAGTGCTAACCACCAGTGCACAACAGTGCACTACCGCACTGCCCCCTGGATGGACAAGTGACTCAGCAAATGGATTTACCTTTGGCCTGCCCCCCATTGGCTCCAGCTGGGGAGGGAAGGAGGGGGGGGGGGTCACCTAAACAGCATGCAAACATCCAGGAGAAACCCCTGTATCTGGAATAACCCTTGCCTAACACCCCCCAACCAAACTACCTTTTCCAATCACCCCCCTCCTTGGCAGATCACTTCCCTGACCCTTAGCACCATCATGTTGTGACCTACAATAAAAACAGGAGAAGCATTAAGGAAACCGGCAGCCCCTATAAGTTAATTTGTCATCCAAACACTTCCATCAGACTCCCCTTTGTTTTGCTCATTTGGCATCACACAGTGTTACGACAGACGGAGACACACACACACACACACACACACACACACACACACCTTTGCAGAGACTGGTGGGGCCCTTCAGCAGGATGGCCATGACGGAAATTAAACCACAGAGCAGGAAAGTGGCATAAACACGACTTCCGAACTGCAGCACGAGCGCATCCCACAGGGACCAGGGAAAAGAGAGCCGGCTGGAAGTGAGCAGTCTGTGGTTTGACCTCACACACAGGCCAATTTAGAAATGCCTAACTGCGTATCTGTGGACTGTGGGAGGAAACCGGTGTAAAAGGAGGACACCCACGCCGTATGAGAAATAAACAAACGATCAAACGAATTAATAGTGAAATTCAATTATGTCCAAAATATTGATCATGGTGTATCAAACATGACAGACAACGTAGGAATCAGACATATGAATTATTGACTGTTCATCATTAAGAGTGGCCGATAGATTTCTCCTGAAAAATCAACATACAAAATTAAATTGCCCATTAATTATTTTACTAATAATCTATTAAGGAACTTGCCAGGAAATTATGCTATTCTTTGAACGTCATGCTTTGATAAGCGCACCTGTTGAAAGGTGTTTTTATGGCAAACTTGGGAGCTGATTTAAAATCTAACCCCAGCGTCCTTTGGACTATTCGCCGCGGTCCCAGTTATGCTGCGCCGTGATCTCGGCACTACTTTACAAACTGGGAATATAGCAGAAGGAAGCAGCCTACTTTCGCAATATAGTAGCAGGAAATCAATCTTTATAATCTTGGCACAAGGAGAACAAAAGGGTTCCGGAGGAGGATTATTTAGAGCAAACCTTATTCTAGGGAATCTAGAGCGAAATAATAAGGAAGAAGTTTCTAATTCTTCACAGTGCCCAATGTACAGATATGACAGGATTTGTACTTAAAGTCTCGTGCATAATAAAGTTAAGGACCTGACTCTGATGTCGTAAATATAGGTGCGATGTACTTTTCTAAATGTAAAATCGCCCTGTGCATCAGTGAGTGACGAAAAACTAGAGAAATTAACAGAAGCAGTCACACACAGCATGGACGAGAAACGTTTCTTAAAGGAAATTGCCAAGTTAAAAGACACCGACGGTGACGGAAAAGTAAATAAATCCAAGTTAGACAAACGATTATGTGCATACCACCATTTGCCAGAACCCCATGTGTATGCCATCGCCAAACCCACAGCCCATCTTGAGCTGGAAGCTGTGGCGCTGTGCAACTTCTGCTTACCTCCAAACAGATGGGGGGAAAGGTGCGCTGGCAGCGACCCTATGACCAGCCGGGGAGCCCCGTGACCGCCGCCTGACCCGTCTCTTTCTCCGGCGTTTTCCTCTGGCGTGCTGTTGCCGGATCCTTGCGAGCTATTTGGGATATTAATGCCCGACTGGGGCCTGGATCCGGATCCCCCTCCTCCACCGCTGCCGCCGCCCCCCACGGTTCTCGTCCTGGATCCGTGGTGCTGCGCCGCGGCGGAAGCGGCTCTGGAAGACCCGTGAGCTGAGGCACCGTACGCGCCGTATCTCATCGCCATGGCCGCGGTCCTACCGTCACCGTTGCCGGTGGAGGTTCCGGAGGGCAGATCCGATCCCGAATAAGCCCGGGTTCGACCATTGGCGGCCGGGCTACTCTGCTTTGCCCCCATGCTCCCTGCGCAAATGCACCAAAGGGCTTCGCAAGAACTCGTTAGAGTGATCGAGCGGAGAAAGGGGGGGGGGGATGAGTTTGGCTGCGGGCTGAAAAGTGCGAGCAAGAGACGGACAAAATCGACCTCCGACAGCAAGGCGAAAAGAAACTCCAGGCGCTTCAAAACCCAGTCATCAAGTAGTGGCGTGAAAAGAAAAAAAACAAAGTGACAACTCGAGGAAATGACTTTCTCGGCTACGGCATGGGACGTGAGCGCAGTGAATCAAAATGATACAAAAGAAAAACGAAACAAAAAGGACGCGATCAAAACGTGTCACGCAGGTATCCCGCGGACGCGGCTTGCAGGGCTCCGCTTCGTGAAGCTGCTCTGCCCTCGATCGCCCGCTTCAGCTTGATTTGCTTCGGCTGCTTTCTTCGCAGCTTCTCCTCCGCCATACCGCTTCTCTTTAAAGAGAAAGTGAAAAAGGCCGTCTTCCCGTCTCTCTTCCTCTCCTCCTCTTTCTTTATTTTTTCCCTTCTCGCGCTACTGACACATAAACTGTTACGAATGAGGAAAGAGGGGAGTGGGGAGGGAACGGGGGTGGGTGGTGAATAGGAGCCAGAAGTAAATCAGAAATTGACGAGCAAGGAGTGAAACTAGAGTGCCGGCGGCTGCAGGATTGGAGTCCGCGAGACGCCCCCCTCCTTTGTTTTGTGCGTCAAGTGACGTCACAAAGCCCGCAAATATCAACAATAACCGTGACCCGGCGACCCTCTACCCCAATCCGCAGGTACGGCGTGCCGCAGACTCGGAGCTCCTGCACGAGGCCACCTTGCGCGCGGCGCCGCGTCCGGATGTGCACGAGTACGGCCACACGTGCGCGGGGCGGAGAGGGGGGACACTGCCATGCACGTTTCAAGGTGAACTGCGGGCAGTTATGTATTTATACAAATAATAAAAATCAATAAACAGAAGACTTGCTAGTAATAGGCAGGTACAAGTATTTCAAGGACCTGGCAATAAGAACGGGGTTTTCTTTGTATTTTATTATGTACCTGTCGTATAATAAACTAACGTTGTGGGATATTTAATATTTCAAGGAAAACACATTTTCTAGAAATATCGTAGCATGTTAATACACATTAAAACAATGTTCATATCCGTTTGTATGATGCGCGAGGTATTAAATATTTATAAATAGCTTTTTTGTTCATCCATAGTCAGTCGTTAGACTGCACAGGCAAATGGCAGCCTAAGCCCCAGCGGCCAATCGGCACACGGATGGACTAAAGGGGGAGGGGGGGTCAAGGTCATTCATCTCTTTGCTAAAGTGCAAAATTCATTCTGCTTTATTGAATATTCATCTATCCGCCCTTCCATTTTCGCCCGGTGCAGGCGAGGAGGTTATTTAAGGGAGCACGGTGTGCTGTGCGGAGTCTATCTGCACAGTACGACAGCCCGTATTTGAACATACACCGTGATTTTGAACTTGGGGCTAAGCATGTGTTTGTAGGCAACATAATCAATTAGGGAATAAAGTATCTTCTGTTCTGTTTCCTTTGTACGGTTCTCTAGGTGTTGACGCATATTAGTTTAAGGAAGAAAAATATAAATTTCAATATGAATTAAATTTCCTGTTTCCAGCATATTGTAGTGTAATGTACAGACACAGGAGAAATGACAGTTTAGCACTTTTATCTGCCTACTGTAATATGTAGTATAGTATGTATAGTCCGACTTGTGAATAAAGGCCACACATATTAGATAATAATTGGCAGTGTGGTTAAAATGCCTGCTTGTGCAGGCTAATTTCCAGAAGACCCACTGTTATTATTCTCAGTACGATGTTTACCCTCATTCGGTTTGATAAATAAAAGGTGAACCAAATAAAAGTTTAAATCCATTTTATATATAATAATTCATGCCATAAGATGGGTTTTTGGGTGCTGGAAGGATAATAAGTGCCACATAAAGGAAATACAGTTAAATGTAAGGATGGGGACACATTTTGGGGGAACCAAAGACTCCCTTGACTGAAGGTTTTACCTGGGAAGGATTTTGGGGTTGCACAAAGGGCTTCAGCAATTGCCTTCTTTTGAACAGTCTTCGCTCCTGGCTGACAATAACTCCCACACGCCGAATCTCAAAGATCGGGATGATTTCCTGCACTAAATCAGTCCTCCAAATGTGTGCTGGAAGAAGCACAGATCTTGTCAAAGTGCTGGCATCAGGGCAGTGCTCATCTGTCGCTTCCTGAAGACTGTGCTGATCACGGCCTGGCATTTTCTGAATCTGGGAGAATCCTAAAGTTGCAGGATTGGGTTTCACACAATATTATAGTAAGGGACAATTATTTCCCCAGAAGACACTGCTTTTCTTTCTTTAATCAATAGAGTTTGTGTGTGTGTGTGTGTGTGTGTGTGTGTATTTTCTATTGTGATTGCTTCACGTGACTCAGAAACAGAATCTAGGTGGTGTCCCAGGGCAGGCCACACAAAGACACGCATACACATACAACACTGATCCTTTTTCTTCACATGCAGAACGTGACACTGGAAAGAAAAGAAGAAAAAAAAACTGAAGCATCCTGCCAAAGTCTTTTTTTATCGATGGAGAGTGAGGAGTGAGATGCCCTCCACACTTTGTCACCCTGGCTTTAAACAACGTAGCTTTGTTTACCACCAGCACGGGCCAAGCAGAGTGCTTCATTCGCCGAATGTCATTATCAGCATCCAATCACACATACTGTGGGGATGCTAGACCAAAGACAAGAGCAATTGTTTTGTTTGGAAAAAAAAAACAAACAGTAAACTAATATTGTTCTAAGAGGTGCTGTTCATGGCCGTCTGCCAAACAGGATTACTATATATAGAATATATTTAATTAAGTACAGTTTATTGACTTTTTCTTCATCTGTATAAGTTGTACATCTTTGCTGGTAATTAATTTTGTAAGGCAAATTGTAATTGTATTATAAATGCTTGTGAAAAAATTACTACTGAATTGAAACAACCTTCTGATCTGTTATTGAATTATACCAAATTAGGCTACCCCTTAGTCCAAAGACCCTAATGTTTATTCCTATGAGAAGCATGAATTTGAGGGTTGATGGATGCAGAGCTGATGGTGCAACACCTGCGTCTTAATGCTCTGAACTTATTGTAATGTAACACCGCCGTTCCTCTCAGTATCGTGTTTGTGTTTTGATTCATGAGTCCTGGGGCAATGGAACACTGCATTATTGCAGAGTGCGGAGCCAAGTGCCAGCTGCGATTTAAACGCAGGCCATTAATGAAGGTGGAAATGACAAAGAAGTTACTCTCGCCTTTACACTCCACCCCCAACCTTACAAATTCCATCACTTGAAATACGCAGCATGGTTGCAGTGGAGTGGAAGTACAAACGCATTTGCACCACTTTGCAGCAGCATGCGCTTGCGAATGTGTCACGCTTGGGTCGTGTCCCTGCCTGTCAGCGGGTCGGCCGCCTGTGACGGTCTGTCTGGCCGTTGGGTACTGAGGATTCCCAGACGAGGACGCTTACTAAGTATGTGGCTCAAAAACCAAGCCAGTGGGGCCGCCGTCCCAAAAAGAATCCTTTTTGAGTGGAAGATAGAAGCAAAACAGGATCAGAACACTTAGCATGGAGGACAGACTGCTGTGGGTTCGAATCCCATAGTGTACCACAACAGGCGTTTCAATTGCAAAAAGCCATCTCAGAATAATGCTTTGGATACTGGGATCCTAGGGAGTAACAACAGTCCAGTTTTTCAGAAAGTTTCCATAAGTGGAACAAAACAAAACAATGGCCAGGTTGGTTTGTTAATCGGCCGACTGGGACAGCATTTATAAAGGGGTACACCATAACCCCCCCCTCCTCCACCCGGTGACTTGCCAGCTGCACATTCCTGAGGCTTACGGTGAGGAAAATTCCACACGTGGCAGGACAGGACTCCACTAGTCGGGTGCAAGATGCGTCCTTCCCAGAACAATAGAGCCGAGTAGTGCAACGGGTGCTCCACCTGCTTCCTCCACTAGAGGGCCAACGCCGAAGGTGATCACAGCAAGTCATTTCATACACCATATTGGATTTTTTTCCCCGATCCCACACACACACACACACACACACACACAGTCGATGGCTTATCTTTGATGTTCACTCACTGAGTTCTTTGTGTTTGAAAAAGCTGGGGGGTGGGGGGGTGCACAATAGAGGTACAATAATTATTGCACAGGGGTAGCAAGCGTGCAGTAGGAAGTCTAGCGGTATGGGAGCTGTACCAAGAACAAGTTTCTCCAAAATGTTCTTTTACTTCTAAGCACAGGCTGGCTCCACATCCTACACAGGCTGGCTCCACATCCTACCCAAATTTTTATTTTGTTGTCCAGCATAAGAGATCTATTGTGTTCTAAATAACATTAGAAAATTAAATCATTTTGATTTCTGTTGATCTCCCCAGTGTAATCTTTATTTTTCCTTTTCTGAATGAAAACATAGATATGCAAACCTAGCGGGACCTCCTGGTTGCTCTGGAAAGTAACGAGAGAAAACTTCAGAGAGAATTATTTATGGTTTACTTATTCGTTGGCGTCAGTCTTTTAAAATATTAAACCTTTTTCCAAAGCTTGTGTCAGCTCTGTGGTCAAATATCAGATAAGGATTCTTTCTGAGAGTGATCATTGGATTTCATCATATTGTTTGCCATTTCCGGAACAAATACAAAGATGCGTAAAATTCTTTGGGAATAAGTGTTGGAACACAGGGAAAGTTCCAGGGGTGACAAGTGACCACGGCTCATTTACAAAAGGTCCAGCTTAATGTGAGCCAGCTGGCCGTGATTAGCAAATATCAACACAGTTGTAATACATTTGGCATTGCCTGAACACACCCCTTCTTGCATCATACCAGAGGGGCTGAAGAACTGAAAAAGAACTAGTCGTAAAAGCGAAATGCACAGCTCTTCCCAGTGCATGTCTGGGCTAGTGCAGTGGACTCGACTAGGAATCGTTGCAGGCCTCTTCAGAGATTTGGCCACGTTCAGGAATTAGTGTGTGAATCGTGTTCAGGGCAGCCCTGAGCACCGAGCAGACAGGCTCATTTTGGGGGAAGCTACTCTTCGAAAATTATGCGCACAGATTCTGCTTGTGGACTTTTGTGGATGTCTATTCCTATTCCCACTGAACGTTAATTAGAATGTCTTGGGTACATACAGAACTGCACACATACATAGAAATGCTGAAGACTTTCATGTGTGTTATACATTCCACATGGGTATATAATAAGCCATTCTCAATGATATATTTCAGCTCATACATTAGCTCTGACATGCCAGAATGAGTGAAGACAGATCTATTGTCAGGTTTATTAAGGGTTTCGTTGGAAATGAGTTTCATACGGGAGATATATTTCCAGCTTATGCACGTTAATGTATTAGCTATACTGTCCTCTGCTGCTCAAAATAAGCATTACAACTTAAAACGGATGTAATTAAAATGTATACTGCATACTGTGCAACAAAGTGACCGAGCCAGCATGAAGACGCCACTAGATATTACGTATAACCTCCCAACAAACTCAGCACCTTAAATCGTAATGTCATACCATTCAATGTATGAGTAAATGTTACTTAAAAATGTGTCGAAAACGTTTTCTTGACAGAATTAGAATTCAGGCAGCAGAATATGCGCCTTCAAAAACAAAACCTGAGATGGTGATGGTCCTTGTACCAATCAGTGGACATCATCTCCTAACAAGAAGTGGCTGCAAGGACATCGCTGAGATGGTCAGGCTGTAGATGTCCGTTGATGGCAGAGGTGCTCTGTGAAACTCTTACTAGTTCTCCTGCATGCTTTCAAAGAAAAGAGAGCATAACAAATTGGATGAGGACACTTTACAGGATATGACAGCCATATCTCGATCATATTAAACATATTCCTTCAGATTAAGGTGATAGAATCTCTTTTTCTTGAACTGAATGGTTGATGAATAGGAATATTCATGAAAATCTATATTGTCATGCCTGTCTCTCTGACTCTTTTAATAGTTCAGTTGTAACATTATTTGGGACTGTATTGTTTGGGATTTTCTTTTTATGTGATTGTACTTTTTTCATTGAACCGTAACTGGAAAATGCTAAATAAAATATTCAAATAAAAAGAAAAGACAGTTTTATGAATGAGCTTTTGGAGCACTCAGGTGCGATCCATGAAGGGATGCTGTTGGAGCATTTAAAACTTTATAACCAGTTTCCATTTCCTTATTGTCCTCATCTACTGGGAAGAACTTGTCAACTCAGTGTGGATAACAAGTGGTATATGTGCTGAGGAACTGAACATGTGTCATGAGTTGTGGGACGAAGAACTCGTGGGCAGGTGTTTAGGGGAACAAAAAGGGGTTTTATTGAACAGATCAGGGAAATAATTAGGACCACAAGGGGTCAAAACAGGAAGAAAGGGATCGGGAAAGACACAGGCAACAAGAGGACTGACTTCAATGGCTGGACTGGGGCTTACGAGACAAATATGTTCTTAAATACAAAGACTAAGACGGAGCAACAAGCAACAGGTGTGGTTCATCAGGGCGGAGACAGGAGTGTCAGGTAGATATAATGAGCAGAACGTTACAACATGTGGCTACAGGATCAGATGCTGAAGATTGGGGGGGGGGGTGAGATCCATACACATAAATTTCTTATGTTGACAAGTATGAATATATATTCCAAATTACATCACTGGTTATGTTGAAAAGGCAGTTATAGGAAAGTCATATTTTAGGCTGGTGACCATATTTAGCCATATATAACAATACACAAACAGGTTTAATATATATTCTGAAACCCAACTCATTTGTACTATGAGAACATAAAATAAAAGACAGAAAAAACTGTCAAGAATCAAAATTAATATTACTATATGCTGTACAAGTGTCATATAATCTTATAAACAACATGGAACCACGACCCAGGGCATAAAGCACATGGGTATATTTCATCTAAAAATGAATTACACACGGCCTTGTGAATGAAGAGTTTAGAAGGATTGTGCTGTGTGTGTGTGTGTGTGTGTGTGTGTGTGTGTGTGTGTGTGTATATATATATATATATATATACACACACATATATAAACAAACCAAGCTCATGTTGCACCTCTGCTAAACATGAGCTAACATCCTGTGTCTGACCATCTGTCCCTTAGAATAAAATGACGCACAATGTCCCACAACTGTCAGGAGCCTACAGCTGTTACACTGGGAAAGGCTCATGCCTCCTTTACACTGTTAAAGTAAGACAGACCAGTACCTCCTACACACATTAAAATGGGACAGGCCTACACCTCCTACACACATTAAAATGGAACAGGCCTACACCTCCTACACCCAATAAATGGGACAGACCTACACCTCCTACACCCATTAAAATGGGACAGGCCTACACCTCCTACACACATTAATTAAAATGGGACAGGCCTACACCTCCTACACCCAATAAATGGGACAGGCCTACACCTCCTACACACATTAATTAAAATGGGACAGGCCTAC